TTTTTTATAACTAAATAGCTATATTATATTATAAAACATTTGACAAAAAAATTTAAAAACCATTTTTATGTATGAAATACTGTTTATTGATGCATATTACTTAAAATTCAACATTACAAATAAATCGTGCGTAAGTACAACTTATTAAAACTTTATGTTTGAATTCATGTAACTAACTGCAGATAAAAATAGTCAAATACAAAATAAACATTTCATTTTAAATATAAAAATTTAAAATATAATTAAGATAATTATTGATAACTAACAAAATATTTAATCATTATCCTTATAAAAATATATATTATTAAATCAAAAACAAATTATTTCGTTAGTAAATCTAAATTAAATTATAATAAAAATTTGAATTAAAGAAATTACACAAGAAACAAAAACTTTTAAACAGTTATTTTTATACTAATATTGATATATTTATTTTCAAAATTTTATGATATTTTTAAATTTTATTCAAAAACAAAAACATTATTCTTTCTCAAAACCACATAAAAACGTATTAAAACATCTATAGAGACGAAATAAAATAAAACACTAAAATCGAGATATATCTCGCTGCATTGCGAATACCTTTCTAGTATTGAACAATAGCTAAACAAATAATAACATAAAATAATTGATATCTTAATAAAAATTAGTATTAAATAATTTTTAACTAATATTAATCAATACTTATTTATTTATAATTAATTTTAGTAAATATAATTAATATTAATGGAGTTATAATTGAAAATATGACAATAAACTTTCAAAATGCTAATCCAAGTAACGTTTAAATAAATTAGTTTATACCCATTCAAACATATACTAGTTTATAAGTAAGTTTATATATGTCAAGGAATGTTTTGAGCTTATCAACTTTTTACATTTTTTTTTGTAAATTATAAGTTTCATTCATTTGGTTTATTAATAATTTTGATTTTCATTTATGTGGTTTACAAATTGAAAAAGTAAAGAATATTAAACCACATAGACCGAAACAACAATAAGTTGTAAATCATGAAGACGAAAATATCAACAAATTACAAATTATAGAAACGAAAAATACAATTTCTAAAACATAGGGATCATAATTGCAATTATTAACAAATCACAAGGACGAAAAACTTAATTTACGCTTTATTTTTGAAGTGGAGTCGATAATAGTATATTTATTCGCGATTTATGGACGACTAATTTTGCAAGGTCTAGAAGATCCTATTTTAATTTAAAATAAAAAAAGAATTAAAATTGGGATTTAGTATGGAAATCGGAAGACCTAGCAAATTGGGCTTGTTTCAGATTTTGACACGTATGAACAGAGGCTTTATTTCATAATCAATTTTGATTCGGTTTCCCTTTTCTTTGTGGCGTGAGAGCGTTTTTCTCTATTCCCTGTTTTCCAACCAAATTGGAAACACCCGTTCTTGATTGATTCCTTTAATAAAGCTGCGATCAAAAGGTAATCCTTGTTCTTCTTGTAATTATAGCAACGATGATACTTGATTCGATGAAAGATGAGTATATGTATGAATCTTGTTTCAGGATTAAGTTCCTATTGGTCAAAGTTTTGAATTGAAGGGAGATGGTAAAGAACAACGATTTGAATCAGTATGACCGCAGTAATCTTTTTACGAATTCCGATCAATCTTCAGGGGATGCAACACATGAATATGAACTAGAGTTGATTTCTGATTCGTCAACCATGATTGAACCGGTTAAACATCCGCCGCAACAACCCTTGCCCACCAAGTCACAGGACAAATTAGGGTTGCCGGAGAGAGCTTTATCCGCCGCGGGCGCCGCCTTTCTCTCCGCCATTATTGTAAATCCTCTTGATGTTGCCAAGGTATTGTAATTTCTCTGCTTCCCTCTTTTTCTCCATCATGCCGTTAGCATTGCCTTTGGGTTTTTGTTGGTTTCTACGCTTCTTTGTTAATTAGGGCTTCTTTAAAATTCAATGGTATGGAGACAACTAGTAAAAGTGTAAAACACCAACATTTATATATTTGTACCAATTGTAAAGGGTATGATAGTTTAGCATTTTTTTTCTCTAAATGTATCAAGTCCTTGTAAAAAAATTCAAGTTGTGAAAGTCAAATTTGGATCTCATCTCATATGAGAAATTGTAGGAATACTTCTTAATATTGTTAGTCTTTGTTGTTCATGTTATTTAAGGTGTCTCTTAAACTTCGCAGTTGGGTGGTTCAGGACCATGGTAATGATCTTGTTTTTTGTATTGTTGTGATTTCACAGACAAGGCTGCAAGCACAGGCTGCTGGTGTCGCTTATTCGCATCCAATGACTAATCTTACCAGCCGAATGGCAGTTTTTGGACCCAATATGGTATGTGTGCTATATAATATCTTTTAGCACTTAGTAGTTGACTACCAACAGCCTTTCAACTATGAAAACTTGCCTGAGAGGCCACACATGACGTTGGTTATTAATGGTGCATCTCCATTAACCTGGAAACCTGTGTACATTAAACAATAATGGTTAGCTAATAGCCTGAGACCGAAAATCATTTAGGAGCAATTGTCTTTTATTTATTCATCTTGTAGAAATGGAAATCTTAACTTCTTGTTCGGGGTTCATGGATGGAATCCTCTGATTAACAAGCAATTACACTTGCAATGAGACCAATTATTTGTTGTCGTCTTTGAGATCTCGTAGACATCATGAACATCAGTTCAAGCATTCATGTTTTCAGGGAAATTTGTTCTTTCTCATGTGTTACTTACACAAGTTGTTGAGACATGTTTTATGGTTTGTTGATCCCTAAATTATGGTATATCCTGTAACTTCATGGGTGTAATATGAACAACACCAAAATCTTAATGGTTCATCAATCTCTGAATTATATCTGCCCATCCTCTTAGCTATTCCTTTAGCCGACTTGTGTTTAGGCAATGGCTTGTTCATCTTGAGTGACTTGACTTCACGAGACTTGTGAATGTCTGATCAGCAAATCATCAACTGCCATTCCTTGTGGTTGATACCCATAACTTCTTGTTTAACTATTTATATGCATTCCCATAGATTACAAATGCATGTTTACAGAAGTTCCTTCCTAATGTAGATGTTTAAAGGATACTTGTGGGGCATAACTTTATCAAGACTATTTATATACTGATTCATCTTATTTACTTAAATTATATTTGTTTAGATGTTTGCGGATCTAAGATGTTCTCCATCATGCACCCGTGCTGGAATACATGGTACAGTGTCTATCTGTCCGCCAGATTGTTTCGAGTACAAAGGAACACTGGATGTTTTCGGAAAAATTATTCGCCAGGTTGGTACAGTGTTGATCTTTTCCTTCCTAGTTCGTGCCAGAAACTACTGTAAATTGATTGGAAATTGGTGAAGTCGTTTTGAGATATCTAATAACGGTTTTTTCAGGAGGGAGTAGCAAGGTTATGGAGAGGCACCAATGCTGGTCTTGCACTGGCTATACCAACTGTATGTCCCTTGATGGCGTGACTCATTATTTGACATTTGCAGAATTGTGTGGTCAGTGGATGCCAATGGCACTATGGTTTGAGCTTATAGTAATTTCAATAATATTCTTTGAACAGGTGGGAATCTATCTCCCTTGCTACGACATCTTTCGTAATTGGTTTGAAGAGTTTGCAGCTCAGAATGCTCCAAGCATGACCCCATATGCCCCTTTACTGGCTGGATCATTGTCACGCTCGTTGGCTTGCACTACCTGCTATCCTATAGAACTTGCTAGAACCCGCATGCAGGTGCTTAATAATAGTTATTATCTGCTTTTTGAGTTTCACTAGAAACCCTGACCACATGTTATATAACTTAAGAGGCCCAACTGAAGGGATTATTGTTGATTTGTTTCTATGATCTATGACGTAAATTGGTTTAGTTTTACTGACAGTTTTTAGAACTTCCTCCTGACTCTATTTCATTGCCGTTTTATACATAGGCATTCAAAGACTTTCACAGTGGTAAGAAAGCTCCTGGGGTGTGGAAGACGTTGCTCGATGTGTTATCCAATGTCCAGAGATCAGAGAATACGAGGAAGAACGGTAAGCTATTGATTTTAATGTTCTGCTAAGCTTCAAATAGTTAACCATTTTCTCAACTATAATAACACGTTTGTGGGCATGTGCTTCTTTTCTCGAAAATGGGATTTTCTTTTCAAGATCTGAATTTTAATCAACGTTGTTCTTTTTTACTGCAGTGCAAAATTATCGAGCTCTTTGGACAGGTCTTGGGGCACAGCTTGCTCGTGATGTACCCTTTTCTGCCATATGTTGGTCTACACTTGAGCCAGTTAGAAGAAGTCTTCTGAATTTGGTAGGCGAGGAAGCCAATGCTGCAAGTGTGCTTGGAGCAAATTTCTCCGCCGGTTTTGTTGCAGGTAGCCTTGCTGCTGCCGCCACTTGTCCTTTAGATGTTGCTAAAACCCGAAGACAAATAGAGGTATTTCCATCAAGTTAGCGATTCTATGTTAATTTCCATGGTTCAATTTGCATCTTTATTTACTTTTTCGCTTCACATGCAGAGGGATCCTGCTAGAGCATTAAGGATGACAACAAGGCAGACTCTAATGGAGGTTTGGAGGTATGTTAAATTCATTTTGTAACTAAATATCAAACTTGGACATCAGAGTTTTGATTTACAACTTATGAAGTCTGCAACTTTATGTGATTATGTAATCTTGGTTCGTTTTCTTGAATCAGGGATGGGGGAATTAGGGGGCTATTTACAGGGGCGGGGCCTCGTGTGGGGCGTGCAGGGCCTTCAGTTGGAATCGTGGTATCGTTTTATGAAGTTGTGAAGTATGCTTTACATCATCAACGTGCAACTTCTTCATGACTAAGCTAAGCTACGCTGACTTACAACTGTTCATTCCATTAGACTTGATATCTGGTTCGGTGATGGTGGTGGAGGAGGAGAATAATTATACATGATGTGGCATGCAGATGAGCAGTTTTGGTAGTCGGTAGATTTAGATGCTCTTCTCATTGCCTCATGATAGCAAAACTAATTCCTTTCTTTTTGTTCTTTTCGATTTCCTTTTTCTTCTCCACGAACAAAGTCGAACTGTTTTAGCTGGTTTTGAACAGTTTTGGAGATATATAAACACCAATTGTTATGCCAAGTGTTGCACAGTTTGAGGTCACAAGAATGAAATAAATTTAATTCATTATGAATATGAACAATTGACACGATGCAGACTAAAATTTTCTCTACCATTTCATCCTTCCATCAAACAAAATTCAAGACTAGAAATCTTTTTAACTGTAAAGAAACACAATTTAGTGCACATCTTTGTTGATGGTGATTCTCCTCTTGAACTTGTTGCTTCTTTAGGGAATATGGAAGGAGAATGCTGGTGAAGAGGAATTTAAACTCAGTGAAGGAGGTATGTAAGTGCCAAAGCCACCAGCATTAGCACACAAGCTATCCCTTGATCAATTGTTAATCCTGTTTCACCACCATCACACCACCTATGTCAATACATATAAACACAAACATATACGTGCATACATACACAGTGAAAAATGAGAACATCTTTATTTTACAAAAACGTGAGAACACCCTTTTACTATAGTTAATTACATGTGATACTAAATCAAAGACACATGCAACCTTTGTTGCGGACCAAGTTGCCCACACACCACTAGGTCCCTAGTAAAATGAGGGAGTTCTTGTTTGATCCTCCACATATATATTTGAACATTTGCATATATATATATATATACACACACACACACACGGTAGGGTTCAAATGAGACACGACTACACCTATTTACATGTGACACCATATTAGAAAGCCGGGAGACTTCGGTTGCGACCTAGGTCGCAAGCCAAGGCACACACACACCCCTGGTTTCCTTTTGTATAGCATGGACAATCTACAGTACATGTTTTTGCGTTTTCGTAAAAGGGTTTTCTCATTTGAACCTCCACCTATATATATGTGTGTGTGTATATATATAGCGTGAGAGAGAGAGAGAGTGGGGGGAGGGAGAAAGAGATGAACCATCATCACTGGTGTGATCATGAAGGTGAAGCGCATGGGCATGGGCATGTGATTGAGAGGTGAAGGTTGGCCTTTTGGTTGGTGGCATTCTTGAAGTGTAGCTCTGCAAACGTCTCTGTAAGAGGCAGAGAGCAGAGTTACGTTTGTGGGTGGTTTTCAACAAGAGAAGAAAGCAAGCAATGGATCAACCAAAAGCTTCTTCACTCACAATAAGATTCAAAGTCATAAAAGGTTAAACGCAAGCCTTATATAACACCACTTGTCATGGGAGGTGTTGAGAAGACCAAGGGGAGCCTACAACATTTTCATCACAATTAGTAACTTCCAACAAAAATCGGATCACACTTCATCATTTTTGAATTTTAATTTGAAGAGTAAATGACATGTTTCATCCCTGTATTTTATATGTTATAGCGTTCAAGATCCTTTTTCAAAAATAATTATGGATTACAACCTTGTGGTTTGTAATTTATAACATTTTTGCTCCGTGTATCCATAATTATTTTAAAGAAAGGACTCAACGTTGTTACATATAAAATATAAGGACCAAACATGTAAATTTCTCTTTGAATTAAAAATCTAAAATTATAAAGATATTTCTCTTTGACTATTTCTGATAGATGTGTTGTGGGCTCACCTTGGTCTTCTCAGCACCTCTGCCACCTCACATGACAACAAGTGGTGTTATATGTTGCTTGCTTTTTTTTTCTCTTGTTGAAAAACGCACCCACAAACGTAAATCTCCTCCCTACATTCTGATATAGTATCATATGTGAATAACTGTTCTTGCGTTTTCATAAAAAATTGTATTTTTGTTTGGACTCTCCCGTATATGTGTGTGTGTGTGTATATATATATATATATATATATATATGCATGTGTGTGTGACAGACAGACCCAAGATTTTTGCACGACAGGTGTACTTTTAAATTTGATCAAATGTCCATAAAGTCGTTCAATATGTTTTAGACGAATTCCACCTTTGTGGGACTTTCTAAGTTAACTTATCTAACATAATATATTGGACGGAGTTAGAGTAAAGGTCGTAAAGTGTAATAAATTGTAAACCACGAGGCTGTAAACTGCAATTGTTTCATAAAAAAGACTTGATGCATTATAACATATAAACAACGAGAAGAAAAAATATATACTGGATTAAACATTATACTTTTAAAATTAATGAATCGTTATTGTTGTAAATCAGTTTACCGGAGCTTGAATTTAGCTAACCTCGAACTCCAATATAATCCTCAGTGCTATGCTTGTGAAATGTCCATTCGAGTGATGCTTGATGAAACTTTAATATAAACCCGACAACATATTCTAACATGCGTCCAGGAATGCATATTCCAAATGAACGTGTTGTCATTTTCAAATAAAAGAAATTTCATTAATGCACAACAAAATTACAAAAAACTGTACAAATCATGAAGTAGACACAACTCGGTGAAGCATAGAACTATAAGTGCTTTGCTACCGCATGAGGTATCTCATTTACATTTCTCAAAATAAACAAAAACTAACACGATAAATGTTTCGAAAGTAGTTGACGACAATGTTGCATGGTAGCTCCAAACTCTCAATGACTTCCTCGTCCTTGTTGCCGATGATTACCCGTTGCTATCCGAAACTCTCGACCCATGAAACGCTCTCATGAGGGAAAAACTTCACATTTTTTTTGTCTCAGGGCATCGATAAAAGATTATGTATCCGTCTCCATGATTGGTTAATGTATCATAATAAAAACAATCATTTGATAACAGTTACTGTGTAAAGGCGTTTACAATAAATTCTTCACAATTTCTCCAAATCGAGAATTGGAACTCAAAATCTCCAAAAAGTTTACATTAAGCAAGAACAGATTCTTCATTTTGGAGGTCACATGATTGATTATACTATTAAAATATTTTATACAGTAATAAGATATTATTTTCCTCCCATAAACATTTAATATGATTGTTTTGTATCAGATAAAATATTAATAGAAATTGTTTTTCTCTCATGATAATCATTTTTAAGAAGTTCTTCAAATATGAAGAATTTTACATTCTTTCATGCTTTCTCTAGTTTAGAGAATCCGTTGAAGCAAAAATTTGTCCAAATTTTTTTATTTTATTTATTTCAATAGAATACTATTAAATAAAATAAAACAATATAATAATTATGTTAATGTTTTCGAATATTTTTGTATATACTAGAAGGGTATTCGCGCAATGCAGCGAGATACATCTTGATATTTTAATATTTTATTTTATTTTTTATTTCAGTCGATGTTATAATATGGTCTTATGTGATTTTGAAAAAACGATGATGTTTTTATTTTTGAATAAAATATAAACTTGAAATATCATAAAAATTTGACAAAAATATATCGATATTAGTATCAAATTAACTATTTAAAATTTCTAGTTTTTGTGTAATTTTTTAATTTTATTTTTTTATTATAATTTAATTTAGGTTCAGTAAAGAGGTAATGTATATTTGTTTTAATAATATAATTTTCTTATAAAGACTATAATTAATTATTTTGTTAAAACTCGATAATTATCTTAATTATATTTTAGATTTTTTTATTTTAAAATAAGATGTTTATCTTCTATTTGATTATGTTTATCTACAATTAGTTACACGAATTCAAACAAGGCGCTTTAATAAGTTGTACTTATGCATAATTTACTTGTAATCTTAAATTTTAAATAATATGCATCAATATATAGTACTTCATATATTAAAAATTGTTTTTAAGAGTTTTTTTCAAATATTTTATAATATAGTATAAAAATACAAAAATCATGTTCAAATAAGTAAATAAAATAAAGGGCAAAATGCACAAAATAGCAATCTATTTTCATAAATTTTTTTATTATAGCATTGTACTTTCAGTTTTTCTTATTACAACAATGTACTTTCAAACTATTTTTTATTAATACATTGTATTTTGAAAAATTTATCCATTATAGCATTGGGTAACATTTTGATTTAAATTTACCCATTATACTAGATTTCCATGACACCTCATTGTCCACATAAGCTGTCCACATGTACTATAGTGATGTGACTTTCTTACTACATCATTGTACTTTCAAAATTATCTATACTATATTATAAAGCATTTGGCTAAAACTC